TTTAATCTACTTTCCTTGCTTTTACCGGTTGTTTGGCGCAGATAGCCTAGCTGCTTTGCGCCATAAAACACCAACCAATCTTATTGGATATGAAATATACAGTATCTAATACCATATGGAGTTGACTCCATTTACAGTACCATTAACCACCCTGAGCTATTACTAGTCATAAGCAACTACAAAATGTAGAGTAGCTATTAGTCTGTGGAGACACCACCAATTCTAAGGCAACATGAAATACACAGTAACTTTTATCACATGGGGCATTATCCAAAGTGTGTGAAAAATGTACATAAAGATGAAGACATTTAGATATTACCAGTTCTAAGCCAATATGATATGCATAATAGCTTATACCAGATGCAGTCAACCTCAGTTTTAAGCCAATGCAAAATAAGACGCCATGGCCCATCACTAATACGAACACTGGCAGCAACTAATTCCACATGGATTTGTAGCCAGTACAAAACATACAGTTACTGATTCTATGTGACCATCACCAATACCAAATGTAAAGATTTACAGTGACTATTGCCATGTGGAGCCATTCTCAGTCCAATTAGATATGAAATGAATAGTATCAAATAAAACATAAGAGTTATCACCAATATCAGACTTATGGTAACTATTACCATCTGGAGATATTCCCATTCCTAATTCAATATGAAATGTAGAGTCACCATGAGTTGTAAGGCAATATAAAAGATATGGTATCTAATTTGACATGCCACCATTACCAGTCCTAAGAAAATACAAAGCAAACATTAAGTATTACCACAAGCTTGTGTCAGTACAAAACTTACAATAAATAAGTTGACCTGAAACCATTTCCAATAATAAACTTACAGTAATAGATTTCATACAAAACCATGACCAATACATAATATAGGGTAGCAAATACCAGAGGGAGTCATTGCCATTATTGATTTTACAGTAACAGTTACCTCATAGAGCCATCACTACTATTGATCCTGTACAAAATGCACAGTAATTTTAACCACATTGAACCATTGCTGTTCTAAAACCACTACAAGGTGTAGAGTCATCATTATCACATGGAGCCATATCTAGTCTAAACCCAACACAATATATATACACTGATTATATATACTGAAAACCAGTAGTTTTCTCCTTGTAGTTAGTTTAGCTCTGTTAACTAGTGAATACCATATTTTAAAGTCTTAACATTAGCTTTTTGACAGAACTAACTAAACTAATTTCAAGCCTCAGCTTGTGACTCAAAAGACTTATACAGAAGCTCTGTTAATCACTGACTTTTGCAAGGATCTTAAACAAATTAGAATGAATGACAATGTGACATTCCCATAGGGTATGTTCTAATATACTTCACGTAGTGTGCGATTTGAAGTTGGAATGTTCTTTAATTTGTGTTAATAGTTTCTTTTTTTTGTAGAACCAATCAGTCTTGCTGACAACAGGTACAAGTAAGCTTATAAACTACTAACAATGACTGTAAAGTTGGAATCTAGTCCTTAAATTTAAAGATAAAATTTGTATTTTAACTAAATTTTCTTTAATATCATCCAGAATAAGGCCTTTAAAATTAAAATATTGTTACGTATTAGAATTACAAATCTTCTATAACCGAGTTAAGTGATACTTTAAATTTAGTAGTTTAATTGCACTTTAGATTCAGCAGTTAAGTAAAAGCCGATATATATATATATATATATAGTCAGTTTATGATGTTTGCCAACAAGATTGATACACTGTTTTCTTTTTCAACACAAATATGTTTTAATATACACACAACAGTACAATTTACAATAACAATTATTACAAATAGTTATTACAAACAATGATTTATGAACAAAAATTTCACAAACTTACAAGCAATATAAAGTCTTTTTTCTTATCAAGGGTTCATCATGAGCGAGTTAATTACGAGTTGATGTAGGTACGATTCGCTTAAGAGGGTCTTCACTGTTCATATGCCTATTAGAGATTGAGTTTCCACTTATGATGTTAGGTAATGTTTTTGTAAAAATATTAATGTCCAATATGAATCCACTGAAGTTAAATGATTTGTAATGTTTGAACTTTGTAAACGTTCCTGGTCAAATATCTGAAGTTTTCCGATTGATGAGCATTATAATAATCAGTTATAGCTTCCGAAGTTTATAGCACACTGACTATAGCAAACTAATAATAGATACTCTCTTTTGGTGTGGCACGTTGGTTATATTTATAGGCATGTGGAGGTTTTCTAGAAAATTCAGATTACGTAACAATACAAATTTAAGCATTTACACATGCACATATATTGTTGATTCTTATTCTCGAGAATCTTCTACAACTTTGGAGAATAGGAGGGAGTTTTGAAATACGTATTTAACAGTATAAGCTATGTATGTTTCTAAATATAAATTTACTCTAAACAAACGTCAGTATTAAAATAAATATATAATAACAAATTTGTTACAAATATAAAACTGTAAAAGTGTGTCCAAGAAAAGAAGTTTATGAGCCTGCTGTTGTTCCACAGTAAACTTTATACTATTACATCTACTGTTTAGGTATTGAAGAAGTTGGGAAACTTGATCAGAGTTTTTAAAGATGGTGAAGGTATCATCAACATGCCTCCTATGTTAAAGAGTCTTAAACTGTTGCAAGCAACTTTTAACCATTGTTTTTCATGAAAACAAGAATGAGTTGGCTAAATATGGTACAAGTCACGAACCATAGTGACACCACTGACCTGATCATAAAGCTTTACATTCAACAAAAAATCAGATTCTGTAGTGACAAAGCTCATAAGTTTTCAAAGGACAGATTTTGGGATGAACACTTTATTGGAGTTGTCATTATGAACCAATTAACCACTTAACTGTGTAGTCTCTGCCAACTGTATATTTATATGTAATGATTCTATGTCAAAACTAGTACAATGTTCAATTGCTGAATGTCATCATAAAACTTAAAAGTGTATTTCAAGGTGTATTCATTTTTGATGAACATTTTCAAAAATCAGCTAGAAAACCAGTCAGAACATGGTTATAAGTTCCAGTGTTCAATGTTATTAGTTGTAAGAGACATCCTTTGTTATTAATGTTTCGTAAACTGTAAGATATATTGACTGAGAAGACTTCCTGATGGTCTTATTTTCAATTACTGTTTTTCATTAATAATACTTATTTTCTTTAATCTTAATAAAAACTTTTGCAACTTAGTTTCCCATTTGTCAGTAAAATCATGATTGAATTTCACATATTTGGTACAATTACTATTTCTTTTGCTTTAGTTATATAATCATCTTTATCTCAAATTACAATACTGTTACCTTTGTCTTATTTAGAAATAACAATACCATTATTTTTACTTACATTTTTAAGAGCTTTAAAATTTTTCTTCTCTTAGATTAGAAAAATATTTATATTCATTATTATAATTATTAACACTAGTCAAAGCAGTACCAATGATTTGAATTTGGATATTACTAAAACATTGAACAGACTTATTCCAAATGATTTGATGTGGTAGTATGTCCATATATTCTTTTAAGATCTGTTTTTTCATAGCAGTTTTTGTGGGAACCTCATCAGTGGCCAATTTGTGACATGATTGTACATGATAAGAGTTTAATCAGTTCCTTTATTCTCATGACATAATTGAGCAATGCCCTTTACAAAGCCTACTTTTTAACAAGGTTACAGCTGTGTTTTTGGAAACTCCATTAAAGGCTAAATGATTTCGAATGACACTATTTTGTACTTCAAACACTTCAAAATCTGTTAATTTTTGACTGTGTTATAGAGCAAAAATAGTGTGAAAAATTGTTCCCCATGTTATTTTAAAGTGTTTGTAATAAAGAACATTATCATCTTAATAATGATTGTCATGATGAAGGTGAATTATATAAATACTGAAACACTGGAATAAACGTTTTTGTCACATTCTACTGTTTGGTATCAGACACAAATGTTTCTTCTACTAAGAAATTTTCTGTACTGTTCCACCAAATCCAATTCCTGTTTAATATATATAGAGTAGCGTGCTATTATTTAAAGGTGTGTTTGGATTAACACAATGTTTGGTGTCTTTGCATGTATGAAGTGTTTTGAAGTTGATTATATGCAACATTACCAGCTTTATCTCCATGCCACTAATGTTGAGTCACAAAGATAAAATACTATAAATCACACATAAATGATTAGTTTCGTTTTTGTTTAATCAAATGTCAAGGTATGTCATGAATCCCATATGGTAATTCATTATACATTAATATCATTGTTATTAGTTCAAACATGCACATTATAATTTACAAACCACAGAAATTTAAGACATGAGTTTAAAAACGTTTAAAAGAAAATAAAACTTATTGTGTTAATACTGCATATTGAATATTATTACCTCTGCCACCAAAATAATGGAGGTTATTTTTTACCATGTGTGTGTGTTTGTCAGCAAGATTTCTCGTAAAGGACTAAATGTATTTGTATGAAAGTTGGTATACATTTGGACTATGACCCAACTCAGAAGTGATTAGTTTTTGGAGGAACAGGGTCACAGAAAGGTCACAAACATTCAAAAAATTCCTACCTATTAATATGGGGAATGATTTTTCACACTATTTTTGCTCTATAACTCAGTCGAAAATGATCAGATTTTGATGAAACATGTTGGACATATATAGAATATTATTCCTAGTTGTTCTGCCAAAAATGGTCCATGTACATCGATAACAACGGACATACAGACATATTTTCATATTTTTTTGAGAGCTGAATATGATCAGTGTTGTGTGATAGGTATATGCTGTACTGAGTGCCTCTCTAGCTTGCGATGTACTTTTGTATTATTTTAAGAAGGAGTGTATGTTGTATATTTTATACAGCCCTCTGTCACAAGTTTTTTGAGGAAGTTGATGCTAAACGCATAAATAATTTGGATGCCTGTGATTTCAGTGTATGTTATTCATAATTGCAGGATAACATTAACTTGTGACATGTTAGTATTTAATTAATTCTATGTGTCTTTAGCTTGATATCAAAACAGTAGCAGCAGGTGGAGGCTCCATGTTGTTCTTCAGGTCAGGACTCTTTGTTGTAGGACCAGATTCTGCAGGGTCCCATCCTGGTCCAGTTTGTTACAGAAAAGGTAAGTGTATCCATGTGTTGTGCTTCAAGAATCTGTATGTTAATTTTATTTTCATATTTATTTGGATGTATTGCATTACATCTGATCTTTTTAGCATTTTATGCTTTACTGAAAAATTCTTTTGTTTTTGATTTTATTTTTATTCAGTCACAACAGTGCTACATATTACTGTTAGGGTTTCCTAAGTGTATACTTGTATCTAGTATTTTACAGGATTATCCTAAAGCATGTAAATGTTATAGAAAGCTCATTGTTAAATTAGCATGGGCATTTACAAGGATTGACTGTTTACAGGTGTTATATGTGTATGATTATTTATATAATCAGAGAAATATCAATTACTTTCCTGTTTTTTCCCATAGCACTTTCTTCTATTTTATATCTAGGTCTAGCATGTTTGAAGATCATACTGTACAAGTTTTATGTAAGTCTGGGTGATGATACAGGCTTATTAGCTATCTTAGGATTTTAACACATGCTCAAGTATAGGTATTTCTTTAGGTCTTGTGTAAAATATAGTTATATGTTACAACAGATTAAATGTTTATGTGTATGTGTCCAATATGTTTCAGAAACACTAAGAATTAAATGTGTTTTATTATTTATCTGGGTGTAGTGTGTTAAAGCATTTTTATTTTTTTTATTACTGTTTAACAGACGGGGAGTAAATATCTTGATTAATGCTGTTTAACAAACAGAGCGTAAATATCTTGATTAATTTTCATATTCATATGAGAAATAGGTTTTACGTTTAGAAGTTCATTATGATATTCTAATGAAAATATCACAAATATAAAAAAGGCAATTTAAATGGAAAAGAAATGCTGAAAAAGTTACACAACTCACAAAAACGTTTCCCATAAGCTTTAAAAATATTCAATAATGCTATTACTGTTCATGCAAGATTTGGAAATGGTATTTTCATGTAATTCCTCTGCTTTTGAAAAGAAAACTGAGCTCATAAAGCGTGTTAAAATTTACATATGGTTTTATTTAGAACCACTAATTAATTCTGCGTCCTCACTGAATAAAAAATATATAAAAAACTTGTATTCACGTATAGTAACTGCACGTGTAACTACATATCGAAGTGAAAAGAACTACACAACAGAAAAGTATAGTTTTTTTTTGGCTAATAAAACCTTGTTTTCAGGCATAATATTTGTGGTTAATGACGATTTATTTTAAAAGCTTTCATTGTGTATAATATTCCAGTTTATTAGTAGAAGGCACTGATAAAAAAAAAGTTATCTGCAGCACACACAATCTGTTCATTATTTGTTTGTCTGTTTAGAAACGAAGTTCAGGTTTTTACATGTACAATATAATCTCTCTCGTCAATTTACCGTATTTTTCGGTGTATAAGATGCACTTTTTTACCCCAAAATTTGATGTCAAAATCTGCTTGCGTCCTATACACCAAAGGTATGAATAATATATATGTATATATACGATATACACAAGCCATGTGTAAATATATTATAGACATGCATAGTTTAGTTCAATTGAATGTGTTATTTATAACAATAGTAGCTTTTTTTTCTTTTTAAAGCATAACTATTTATAATTCTCCCTAAATAGTAAGAAAATAATTACAGTGAAAGCAATGAAGATTTTGTAGGTTTTGAACCAAGCTAAATAACAGTAAACCTTTAAGTTCTAAAAGTAAGAACTATTGTTTTGTATTCACTATTAGGAAATACAACTGTTGTGTCAGTCTAGGTATTTACTGGGTCAACAATGGACAGAAAACAGTAGAAGTAATGTTTGATTTATTTGAATTTCACATGTGATGGAAATAATATAATATATTGTTGCGTCAGCGAGTCACATGACTAGTGTGACGCCACCTTTCTAGAACTATCCCATACCTTGGCGAATGCTCTAGCATTTACTAGATATAGGGTAGTCTGGTATATAAAAGAGGGTGACAACGTGACGGGACAATAATGTAATGTAATGTGTGTGTAGATAGTGAGTAATTGAACTGCAGTCAGAAGTATTGTTGACGTTCGTTGATATAGCGTTTGTTTTAGCGAGATTGTTGAAAATAAGTGTATCGTAAAGTTATATTCGGAAAGAATAAACCAGTTTTATTAAGTAAGAACTTGTGTCGCTAACGTTTCGTCGGAACAAAGTTACGGAAAGTTAATTGACAAAAGGAGACGTAACAAATTGGTGTCAGAGAGTGGGATAGAAAAAAAAAGAAGAACGAGAAGAGAAATTACAACATTTGTTAGAGGAAAAAGAAAAGAAACAAGAAGAACGAGAAATTAAACAAGAAGAGAGATTACAGCAGTTGTTGGAGGAAAAAGAAAAGAAACAAGAAGATCGACAACAGCAGTTGCAAGAAAACATGCAACAATGGCAGCTTGAACAACAAAATAAACAAGAAGAGAGATTACAGCAGTTGTTGGAGGAAAAAGAAAAGAAACAAGAAGAGCGACAACAGCAGTTGCAAGAAAACATGGAACAATGGCAGCTTGAACAACAAAATAAACAAGAAGAGAGATTACAGCAGTTGTTGGAGGAAAAAGAAAAGAAACAAGAAGAACGAGAAATTAAACAAGAAGAGAGATTATAGCAGTTGTTGGAGGACAAAGAAAAGAAACAAGAAGAACGAGAAATTAAACAAGAAGAGAGATTACAGCAGTTGTTGGAGGA